TTCTCAATAATTAGACCTAACTTTGTTGTAAGTTTTTACATATTATTCATTCTCGTTGTTGTCCTAATAAAATTCACTTCATTACCTTTGGTTTTAGATCCTCAAATGAGTAAATCATTTCAATAAATTATTTTACATAGTTATATAGATTATTACATTAAAAAAATATTTTAGCATATGCAAGTATGTTACAAAAGAAACAATATATTAACATCAACAATATAGTATATCATTTTACATTGAATAATAGCATAATACACAAATAATAATACTTCATTATATAACAACTTTGCCTTGAGGAAGAACATTCTATATCAACATCCAGACTTTAATATATAATTTGGCATTACAAAAATAGTATTAAATTTAATATTTTAGTAAATGAGAAGGTTATATTATAAAAGAGCTCAATACAACATCAACATCAGTGTTAATATTTTAATATTTAAGAAGTTGCATTGTGAAATAGTAGATTATATCAAAATTGATGCTTCAATACATAGAAATTAAGTTATAATACTTGTGTCTCTAATTTGTGATTGGTACACAAATAATTCAATATGTCAAACACAATATTTCAATATATAAAGTTTACAATATAAAATAAAAAAGAATATCTCCCCAAATGTCTTAGCATCTGACGAGTTAGGTTCCAAAAGAACATAGTATATCAAAACTAATATTTTAAGACATAGAAACTATGTTTCATAACTGAAGTAATGATGTTAATAACAATATATTTGTAACATTTTAGTATGTTAAATATGATCTTTCGATAAATGAAATTTATGTTGCACAATATCCAAGCATTGTAAACTTAATATGTTCATATATGACAAGTTATAGTGTGTGTAGGTAACTATTAGAATGGCATGTAATGATGCTCTATTAATTGTAGAAGAGCATAAAGCAGAACAAATTTTTCAAATGTAACAAAACTTCAAACTCAAAAATTGAGCAAGATGAGCGAAATTAGTTAGAAGAAAAAAGCATCAATCCAAAATAAAAAGAAAATATCTTTTAAAAAACATTGAGACGTAAATAATTTTTAAAAATCTTGGATTTTATATGACAAGACATCACCAAAATGGGGGAAGTTAAGTAGAAGTTATTTAGTTTTTTTCTCTTAATCCTTGATGTGGTTATATTTATTAGATGGCATAAAGAGTATTTCACACATGATTTTATAATGGTTTGATCACATGACATACTCAACTCTTCGAGTATCACAAATATTTCGACATCGTTGGGTTCCACAAAATCCTTAATAAAACACATTGAATTACATGGCTTAGTTGTCTTCAACTAAAGTTAATAGTTCTAGCAAACTCAAGATCTCACCTAATAATTACCTTCCTAATTTAATTAGATTTAATAATCTCTTTTGGTCTAGCAAGCCAAATTAAAAGAAGCCCTTTTTTTTCTCTTCCATATTAATGACTCTAGGGAGTTGACAAGATTCACCACATCTAATCTCCTCTAGATTTAGGCTACAGATGTGTCATGATAGTTTATGCACTTTAAATACAATGTTTTAATAATTTATTATTCTTAGTGTTAAACTCTTATTTTCTTAGAGGTTTCTCATTAGGGAAGTTTTCATAGGATTAATTTGTTAAAGTACTTGAGCATATCAATCAAGCTTGGATTTGTCATAAGAAGGTGACATGTGTGGTACCTTTTTAGATTTTTCTCTTAATTTTTATGATTTTTCCTTAGTCTTGCATTCACAAGTGGATTGAAATGCCCCTATTTATAAGGAGTGTATTGGGCCACCTAACATTCATTTTAGACAAACACATCCAAACCTGAAACTTAAACCCCATTTAGGCTTGTTAATATCATAAAGACAATAACAAAATAGAATCTTCAAATTTTGATGTGTCATGTGTTGAATCATTCTTTGAACTAGTTCTATAATGAGTGGTAGCATGCCTATGTTTGTGACATAAATTTTCATATAAATATTAACAATTTTACCTTTGAACAAATTTCTCAATAATTTTAGACACAACTAAGGATGATATCATACTTGATCAATTTTCTCAAAGTATTTATCCATTACTTAATAATTAGCAATCTTAGATCATATGAACATATAATTCTGCTGCATTAATTGCCAAATTACCTTTCCTTATTGTCATCATCAAAATATCATAAGCTCTCAAAGCCATTAAAAAAAATTGCATCAAAGATAAATCTCCATCAAATATCTTTCAAATTACTAAAAATAGACATCTACAAGTAAGTTCAAGAATTGAAGGGTTTATATTTCTTTGAATAATTGAATGATAGTAGTAAAATCCTATCACCATTAGAAAGTGGTGGTGTATATTTAGACATTTAGAATGATGAGCTAGTACATGTTAGTAGTACTTAAACTGGCTAGAGTTGTAAATCTAGAAGTAGGTGATGAGGGATTTGAGTTTCTAGAGCTATAAACAAACAAGCACTTGAAAATTTATAGTCTAACATCTAGGGATACTGATATTTAAGAAGATAGTGTGAAGAGTGGACTAGATTACAAGAATAGTATCTTTTATGAATTGTATTCCTCAATGACCTTAGTTAATTTAGGAATTGTATTGAAACTTTTACTTTAAAATGCTTTAATGAATTTATACATAGCTTTTCAAAGAGATTACCTAATTCTTGCATGATTTATAGTTGGCATCGTATTTCATGTCTCATCCAATATTGGGCCATACACTTTTGTTTTTGAAAGTAGAAAGGTGAGAACCACTAGACAAGAGTATGTGCTAACTACAAGGTGTAGAGGAGGGATAGGGGGCCACACATGAATGATTATGGCTAGTAAGGGTCGATGCCCATCACGAAAGAGGGTCAGGTCCATTAAAGGGAGCATGGTGGAGCAGCCCAGATGGGAATGGGGAGGAAGTTGATGGGGCTAACCGAGAGAGATGGGAAATGGCAGAAGAGGCAGTGAGGAAACAAGAGCCACTTTTACAGTAGAGTTTGAGGTCCACCACTATAGAATAAGTATGAGCTTTCAAACTTGCTTGCCCTTTTGGACCACTTCAGAGAGGAGCATGATATTTCTATGAACCACTCTGAGTCCTCATGTGCTTTATAGAGACATAGGACATAAAAGATAGAATCATGGGCCCCACCTAAATGCACCCTTAAAATCATATGCATAAAGCAAAAAGTAATATATATATAGCTAAGAATGAGTATCTATGGAAGGGTGGCTTCCATGTTGGATAAAAATCTGATCTTTGAGTCGGGTCCAACGGAAGCTCTGATGGGTCCCGGTTTTATGTTTGGATTGAAGCTGAGAAAAGAGGCCCATTAACAGACGACTCACGGCAGATATCCAAAGTCCAAATGAACCCAGAAGAGGCTCGAGGCGACCTCGGCCGAGTGAGCCCGTCCGACTCACCCGAATCGAGCTGTGTCAACGACGCGGGAATGTCTTATTATTGGCTACCACAGGTAATTCCTATGATACCCTGATGGTGACGTCACCAAACAGGGTCAGAACCGAAAGGTTCCTCAATAATGGCGAACCGTCTCTCTCTCTCTCTCTCTCTCTCTCTCTTGTTCTTCTGACTGACAGCTGAAGCAGCAGGACGCCCAGCACTCCACACAGGTCGGCTGTCGGCGCTTGGTTTTCCTTTTTCTCTTCGTTTTTCATCGGATGCCCCGTTGTCGAATCGGAGGTCTTCAATCCTTGTGGTTAGGTTTCGGTCTCTTTTTCCTCGTGTTTTTATTCTTCGACACGAATCTGTGCTTGTATCTTTTTTGGTAAGATTAGGGTGTTATGGGAGTCTTCCTTGTGTTGTTGTGACGATGAGTTGCTGAACTCGAGAATGTGACTGGTGACCCTGCTTGGACGATTATGACATTGTGATTCACTTTGGTTGTACAGAGTTTTTTGCTTCAATAAGGTCAGGCTCAAGAGCATTGTTCTTAGTCACCACTCCGTGTGATCCAACCGTTTACATGTTGCCATTCGCTTGATTCGGTTCACGGGGGGGAGTGGGGGTTGGGATTCTCGCTCTTCGTAATCTTTTTTTATCTGTGCTCAGGATTCGGGAGTCCCTCTTTCGCGTTTCTGAGTGTCTATTTTTACCTATTAGTTTTTTTTTCTTACTCTTTTGGAGAAGTTTGGCCGCCTTCTCCGGAGGTTATTACTAAGTGGCATTGGTTCACTGACCTATCACCACCGAGAATGGATTTATGTTAAAGGAATCTGGCTGATTTACGACTAACATGCGGGACTTTATTTCTATCATGTATGCCTGCAATCTGGGCTTTTCTTGTCTAGATTTTTTCTATCTTTTGATCCATGCTTTCATTGGATGCCTCCTGAAGATTTGATACCAAAATGGTTGGAGAGACGATAGTAATATATGCATAGCCTGGTGGTAGGCTGTAGATGTTTCCTCGCCAAACTATTAGTATCATGGCCGTAGTTTTCTTTCCCTCCTCTTTCGCTTGTTGTATGTTTTAGCTCTCTTAAAGATTTATGAAAAGAGCTATATTATTATCAGAATGCTTTCGTGTAGGGTTGTAGAAAGTAAATTGATTTATTCCTTTTTGCCTTCGCTTTCTACTGGAATGGTAGCATAGAACAGGACAACCATGGTTTTGCGAGATCCCCACAGACAATACGTAATTCGTATCATTTATTCATGTTATCGAGATGGGAAATGAAGAGAGTAAGGACCATGTGTCCGCCAAATTGTTTCCCTTATTGGACTGTTGATTTATCTGAGATGTTCGCTTTCATTTGTCCATCTATCAGAGCCAGGAGTTTTCAAGTCTTTTTAGTGTTCCTTGGTAGCCAGCCTGCCTATTAGCTGAATGATGTCTTCTTTTGATAAATATTATTGATAATCTTGTTATTCATCGTCTTCATGAATTAATGATAACGAGAACTTTCATTCATTTTTCTCTTATGATCAATGGTTGATTCATCGTGGTTTTTTCTCCTGAAACAAACTCCTGATTCGTCAGTTGAAAACAGAGAAACAATGCCTGAACTTACGGAGCATGTGGCCGAAAATATTTTGAACAACATAGTGGAAACAATCACGGACAGCATACAAAAGACAAAATCTGGGAAATTTTCTGAGGAAGAGAGTACCGTGTCTGCTCAGATGAATAGGTTATTTGGGCGCCAAAAGTCTATGCATAGCCTATTTGGTGGCGGGAAGCGTAAGTGAATATGTTCAGCTGGATTCTCTGTTCTATTTTTGGGTTTTAGGCATATCCTGAGTATTTTCTTTCCGTTGACCATGCAGCTGCTGATGTGCTGTTATGGAGGAACAAAAAGATTTCCTTCAGTGTTTTGTCTGCTGCAACGGCAGTATGGGTGCTCTTTGAATGGCTGAATTATCATTTTCTGCCTCTTGTTTGCTTTTTGCTGGTTGTTGGTATGCTCCTCCAGTTTGTTTGGTCCAATGCGTCAGGGGTGCTGAACAGGTGCCCGTTTGAAGAATTTAACTTCTCCAGTAATCTTATTTGCACCAACATGTTATGATATCTGTTCGATATTGCATTGATGCAAGTCCCATTATATCTATCACAGGTCTCCATCTAAAGTACCCCGAGTTGTCTTACCAGAGGAGGTATTTGTTAACATTGGTGTTGCTGTCGGTGCTGAAGTTAACCGTTTCTTGGGATTCCTTCAAGATATTTCGTCTGGAAGAAACTTGAAGCAATTTATCATGGTACACTTTGGCATTGATTCTGGAACAACTTTTTGATTGCATATTCACCTGGAATGTATCTATTTTGTGCCCACTAGTGCATTTTTATAAGCCTCATATTACATTTGTCACCTGCATCTTCATGGAAAATCACAAAACTATTGATTGAGATGTAGATGGGCCGTATCTTCCATTTTGGTTGCCATTATAGTTTCACTTTCTCCCATAAAGATGTTTTTAGTCAGTTATCTTGCAATTTTATACATGTCATCAATGTATTTAATAATTATTTGCAAAAACATCGTCTTCAATATTTTCATGGGAAAAACATATTTTACATGCTTTTTTGTTGTGTGTGAATTAAACTTAGCTTATTTATTGGAACGGCAGATGTATATATTTTAGTTGATCTAGTTATTGGGCCAAAATTATTTTCAAACTTAGTATGCTTCTCTCCGGGGAACCAGTAGCTAAGAGTTTGAGCCCCAGTCAGATAAAATGGAGATATGCTCTGCCTTTTGCTTGACTGATGGTATTCACATAAATTTGGTTGTTTTGCATCCCCACCAAGACTTCGAGTATTTCAGAGTCTTGGTGGGGATCTCACGTTGACTGCAAGATGCTGAAAGAACTGCAGGATATTGGTATTGAAGAAGAAAAAAGGGAAAATATTTACCATGTGAATGCGGTATATATTACAATGAAGGCAGAGTACGTTGGTGTCAGATATATTAATTCCTTTAATAAAATATATGCTCTAATGTGCGAAACTTGCTGTTGTCCCTGGCTGGTGATGGAGCAAGAATAATCTTTTAGACTGGGCATTGGTTAACTTGCCAATTCCCTCACTTTTTAAGGTCTTCTTTCAATTACCAAAATCTCAGGAAGTCAAACCCAGCAGTCCAAGGCTGTCATTTCTGGATATTACTCAAATTTCCAAGACACCAGGGATTAATCTGAAGATTCAAAATTATAGGGGACGGTTTTAACACTTTCTGCTAAACATTCCTGAAATATGGGGGATTCAAGGTCCGGTTTGGGATTATTCCAGAATCATGATTGATATCTGGCCGAGAGGGCGCCATCATATGAATCATCAGTCACTTTAGGCCAAACTTCATGTCTATATATATATATATATATATATATATATATATATATATATATATATATATATATATTATTTTACTTCATCTTTTTCTAAAGAAAGCTTTACACATTTAGTTCCTGCTCCAGAGTTGGAACAGTAATCTCTGCTCTAAACCATGTCTGTACACATAATTATCAATGAGCTAATCCGGATCGAATGCTAATGGGGTTGGGATAGCCAGGAACTTATCTATTTGCATCGCTCGATTCCCCCAAATTAATCAATCCTGCTCATGTGACGAAATTATTTCCCTGGGCAAAGTGTTCTAAGCAGAGTCTTCATCTAATACCTTGTTCTTTTTATTATTTCCGTTGTTGATGAGCTCGCAGGGCCTCTGCTTTGATCCAGTTGTTCTTCTGTTCAATATTCCTCTCTTTTTCTCACTTAACAATCTTATATAGCTTCTATAAAATATGGACCAATGCTTAGCATATACTGGCCAAACCTGATGGATAATGCACGGAAAGCTTATCTCCAGGTGGTCGCCGGCTTGTGGGCTGCAGCAGTGATTGGGAGCTGGTGCAACTTCCTCTCTGTGCTCTACATCGGTAAGAAATAAATACTCAGTGATTGGTATAAATATTTTATCTTCATCATTTTGAGGGTTTATTTAGTTATTTTTCCAATTATTGAGAATATTTTTCTTATTATGGTTGCTAATTATTATAAAATAATTTTTTTTCTTCCCCATTATATTTGTTTTCATCATTTATTTTCCACCGTTGAAATTATTCTTGCCCAACTAAAGAATATATGTATATATATTCCCATTTACCATGTATTATGAATTGGAGAGATCATTGGGGATTGAAGTATGGGGATCTCCAGGCTTCGTGGGCGCCCACACGCTGCCGGTGCTGTACGAGAAGTACGAGGACCAGGTGGACGACTTGGCCCACAACGTCTTCGGCCACTTCCGGCGTCACTACCGGAAGCTCGACGAGGGCATCCTCAGCAAGATCCCCAAGGCCAAACTCGGCTCCAAGAAGAGCGAGTAGCCCGCCCGGTTCTCTCTCCACTTTCTCTCTCTAGACTCTCTTCCTTCTTCGTAGCCCTACTGCGTTCTTTTGTCTTCTTCATGTCTCTGAGATTCTTGGAACGGACGACCAGGACTTGAGTGTTGAAGAGTAGAATTGAAACCTTCCACCTTCTCCGTCCATATACCCCGTATTTTTAGAGAGAGAGAGAGGGAGATGATCATGATGATGCTGTTTTAGCTGATTAAATGCTCTTCAAAGATTGGGCAGAAAGCTGAAGAAGGAGCCATACCCGAACAAGCCACGAGCTTGATCGAAGCTTCAGAACATGACCGGTCCTCGAGGCCTTGATTGGTCCAGCCGGTGGGCGGCGCCGCCCCTTCTCCTCCCGCCTACAAAACCCAGAGGGCCACTTTGCAACTGTGCTGCAGATCATTCTCTCCTCCTTCCTCTTCCTCTTCATCTCCCGCTTCATATTTCGTGCCGCCATGGCCTGCAAGAACGGCTTCGTCTTTTTCATCGCGTTCCTACTCGCGCTCTCCTCCGCCCACACCTGCTGGGCAAGTCGCCGTCTGCTCGATACGCCAGCAGCGCCGCCGATTCCCGTCCCCTTCATCCCCAGCTTTCCGCTGCCGCTGCCGCTGCCGCTGCCGCCGCTGCCGGGCATCCCGAAGGTCGCTCTGCCGCCGTTCCCCGCTGGCGTCCCTGGTATCCCCACCATTGCTGCTGCTGCTCCACCGCCGCCGCCAGCCACCGGTGGCGACCCATGATGATGATGATGATCCGCCTCTCTGCGCAGGAATAAAGCTCGTGGCTTTCGCTGTGGGTAGAACAGACCAGGAGGTGTAGTAGCCGGAGGGCACTTTCATGCTACTACGCTTCATCTTTACATTATACTAATATGAATAAAGGGGTCTGTTCTTCTGCCTATTTGATATGTGCGTCGTGCACTAGAGAGAGAGAGAGAGTTACGCTGGTGACAGACCATGGCGGAATAGGGTGGGAAGGAAGTACGCGGTTCTCACACCCAGCGGCACATGGCTGGAGCGCCGGCGGCAGCGCCGCCGTGAGAGGGCTCCACTCGCCGGCGCTCTGAACCCCCTGGCGTTAGAAGTGGGATGCGGGGTGGTGTTGGCCGGCCCAGAGGAAGGGAAACTCGGCGCCGTGTTCCTACTATTTAAATCATAACGTAATTAATAATGTTTCCTTTTTATAAAACAAATAAAATAAAAATTATATAACAACGTCTTTGTTGAAATTTGAGCTTGGCCCGGTGGGCCCCGTTGAAGATATTTGGGCCTTGATCAACGTATGGGCCGGACCTGAAGTTTCGACAAGCACGGCCTAGACCGAGCTTGTTGGCCTTCAGATGGTTGCACTGATTTACCTCGCCGTGCGTGTATAGAGAGAGAGAGAGAGAGAGAGAGAGAGAGAGAGAGAGAGAGAGAGAGAGAGAGGGAAAATCAAGAACATATGAAATTTTTAAATATGTATTTAAAATACATATTTGGAATTAACAGCAGAAATTAGAACTCGGGCATCCCAATTTCTAGTGAAATAAACCTCCCACCATCTAGGAAGACCACATTCCTCGAGAGTCTGACCAAGCCCACGTTGACTTCGGCCTAAGTAAGATCATCTTCATCCAAGGCTTCTTCCTCTGCATCCTTGGCCCTGAGTGACGTCAGGTCTCCGGTAGGCAGCTTCCTAGCTAGCCTGATGATCTGAAACCAAGAAAACACAGGACCATCCAACTCAAGGTCAACGGGAAATCAAGCAATAAAATTTTTATTCATAATTTGCAAAATGGGAATTGTGCCCAACAAGAAATATCCACAATATAACAAAAAATCATACGATTCAGACACGAAGAATGTAAAATATAAGCGAGATGATGATATATAGAGATATTATTACCATGTGATCAAGATGAGAAATGGCGCTTGATAGACAGATACGTTTGATTTCTTCAGCATCCCCTTCTTCATAGGCAGCAAGAAGCTTGCTAGAACAGCGACCCTGATCACTGCTGAGGAATGCATCGATTCTGATAAAATAAAGTAAAAAAGGCGTTAAACCTTGTAATATTAAAAGAATTAAAAAAGGTTGGAAAAGATTTAGCATGGAGCTTACTGAGAGCAGTCGTTGTAACACTTCTCAGCCTGCTTGAAGTCGTGTGTATAAAGATAAACTAGAATTGCACCCAGGTAAGCCTGCTTGAAATGGTAAAAAAAAAACATTGAGTAGCCCAGAAAAATATTCGCCCAAATAAGCAGCAGGCATGTAACCATGTAACCATTGGACATACATAAAAATTAAAGAGAGGTGGTAAAACATTGGGACATATCACATATTTCTACGAATTGATTCCCTCATCATAGTTTCCAGGGAAACATACCATGTAACCCAGAAAATATGTTCCAAAAGATAGAGATCCTTGAACTTATCCAATTATTTTGAATAAATGAAGCTTCATTTCATTCCATTTGGGATGGAAACCCCATTAAACTGAAGCTTGGATTGATCTAACTATATCAAATCTGAATTGATTTCAGAATTTCAAACTCGATGCAACACAACCGCACTGATGTGATGCGTAAAAATTGCAATATTTTTATCTGTTTGATTAAAAAAATTCACAGGGTCTCAAAAGGTAAAATATATCTCAAGGCTGGACCCAATCAAGAAGGTCCAACTGGGTCAACACCAGCTTTCCTCAGCTCCAGTCCCAAAACTTCCCAAAGTCTAAAGAGTAGAAGTGCTGAGCATTGCAGCACAAAGAGGCCATAAAGTAGAATCTCAAGTATTGATTATAATTACTATGGATTCAATGAAAAAGATAAAAACTATATAGATTTTGTACTATTGAGCAAAACATACGTACATTAATATGATGGAGACCTAGAGAGAAAATGAGTCCATGGTGGTAACTGACCAATCCCCCATGGAAAAAACCCCAAAACTGGCTATCCATGTCTCTCATATAGAAAAATCCCGAATTGCCCACAGAACAAAGCAGTTCCATATTTGGAGTTCCAAATCCAAAGACAATTGGAGCTCTTCCAGGACCGATTTCAGTTCATGTGTGATGGCTTATGGAGCTGCATACTTGTTCTTCTTGAGGAAAAGATCCAAAAGATTTCATTATCATCCTTCACAGCCATTTGGGACTGAGTCATCACTATGACAGCGCTACAAGCAACCTGTTACACTTTAGGCAGATTTCTTGGGTAGCTTGATGAAGAGAAGAATTATCTTCGTTAAATGGAAGATTTGACCGTTTGAAAAAGCAGAAGCTAACCTGCGTAAACCAGGAGGTAGAAGACGAGCAATTACGGCGAATCCAGCTCTGAGACGAGCAAAGACATGAGCAGATGCTATCAATGTTATTTCAGCTAGTTGATGCATCGGTTCATTTCCTTAGAATGTTGATACCATTACTACCTATTCGAGCAAACCCCACCATCAAACACCAACTTGGCCATTTTGTTTAATATAACCTGCCTCTCACCACTGAATAACTATTTGATTTGCTGCCGTCTATCCAACTTGAAGATCCTTTAGTCCGTCTAAAGATTATAGTGAATCAAAGTTGTGTCCACACCAGACCCATGTCCAATACAGAAAAATATCATGACCTAGTTCACACTTCATAAAAGATTGAACAATCGCAGTACTTGAACTCATACTTTATTAAACACGAGTAGCGGTAAACTGCAAATTTTTGGAGGTAGAATGGAGGTTGTGGAGAGAAGAATTTCCAAAGTTCCATCCCTTGAATAGGGGCTGTGGGAAACCAGAAGGTTTCTCTTCTAAGGTTTTGCTTACGGGGAACAAATGTCTCACCAGGTCAACAGACCGCCTCCCCCTCCCCCCCATAATGAAAACCTAATATCATAAGGGCACCAATTTAAAGCAGGCATAAATATTCTTCTCATAAGATTAGTCAGTGGGATGATACAGTTGTACCCTAATGAAAAGATTTCATCTCCATGTTATTGTAGCAGGACAACTTATTACCACTTTAAGATACAAAACACCACAGTTCTCCAAAATCCATCCTAGGTGGTGGACTAAAACCAGCAACACACTATGGCACACATCCACTTACTGAAAAAGAGACCATAATTCCTGTATTGTCTTATTTTTTGGAGAGCTGTATCGTGTTTATACCTGGAACTTTATCAGAAAAATCATCAGTTTGGACAGAAAAAGTTGAGAATTTTCACATCATAAATCGATTTAAATGGAACTCTACAAACTTAGGTGCCCTACTGCAAGCAAGGTAAGAGTGACAGTCGAACAGAAAAAAGGATGCCCAAGTTTGGCGTAAATGCAGAATCTTATAGAACTCAAGGCTAGCAACATTTCATTATCAAACACCATCCCACATTATAACCATGAACCACATTGTTTCATTCATGATTCAAAAGGCTGCTAAAACTTTAATCCACAGTGTACATAGCTTCATTTTATCTATAATCGAAATAGCTGCTAACTCTTCAATCCACAGTAAACATTTCCAACCAGTGATTAATATTAAGTGTTTTGATGCACCGAAATTCTCAAAATCCACGGACAGAACAAGAAGAATAGGCTATAAACTTGAGTCACCTTGCATTGACTGTTCACAGCTTTGCAGTGGTCTGCTGCTAGGCCCCATCTTAACAGAAGTGATGCAGCGTCAGTATACCTGGATCATAAAGTCAACTATATATGAGCATATCACTGAAGGAGAAAACAACGGCTTTGGATTTCAAATGTGCCGCAGATACAGCACAATTTTAGTGAGATGCTCGACCATGATGATATTCTTTTTTATATTTTTTTTCCTTTGAATCGAATTCAGACGGATTTTCTTTCAAGAATAAAGACACCAAGGTTTGCTTTTTTTGCGAAAAAAGAGATGGTCTCTGTTGGTTGACATTTTTGAAGAAGGAGAATAATATTACAGTGTCCAATCACGATGAGAAGATACAGGACAGCGCATCATGGATGTATTTTATCAACCTAGAGTAAGCCATCTTTGACTGAAATATGCTTTTGGTTCTATGTTTTTATTTCATTGAATTGTGCCCTTTTGACCTTTTTCTGAAGTATTTAATAAATTGTAACGTACATGGTGGATTAAAGTAGCAGGACGAGTGATTGAGATGGCTTGTTTTTTCCTTTCTTTAAAAAGAAAGGAAGAAATAGAGAAAAATCTTTGTGAAGGATTTAACACCTGGTTGGATAGTATGTGATCTCAAAGGGTACTATGTGTGTGAAAATTGATGTAAGTGATCTTTTTTTATCATATCATTAGCATTAAAAAGACAGCTGAAGAATAACACTAGTTAACCTTCTTCTGGTGATCGGGGACAAGAAAAAGAGGATAATGTTGATGAACAAAACTTATCAGCATATTTTGAAACAACAAAAAAAGCCATCGTTGAAACATTTGACGGGTCAACGGGTTCCACTGGTGAACTAGCAGAAAGAGAAAGTAGTTTCATCCTTTCTCACACTAGAAAAATCTTCCTGAAGAAAAAAAGTTGGCTAAACCCCTTCTGTTGAGCCTTAAAAAAAGATAATTTGTCAAATTGGTGTAGAATGCAATGACCACCATATCAGGACAGCTAGGGTCAGCACAGACTCACCAGGATAATAAAAATAAAATAAAATAAAAGATAACCCTTCATTATCTTCTGTAAGTGACTACATAGAACACTATACAGAATGAAGATAATTGAGTGCTTTGAGTTTTTATGGACCGCAGTTTAAGAAACAAGTGATCATCAGATCCTCACCTCTCAAGCTTGATATAAACCTCTGTGGCATCACGATACAAATCAAAGGCCATTTGCTCCTTGCCATCTTCTTCCAGTATTGCGCAGGCATCATTGAACAATCGAATCGCCTCTTCTGGGTTTACCTCTGCTAAGAGGCTAGATGATATCACAGGTTTTGAAAATGAACCATCAGAAACGTATCATATGAAAGCACCCAGGATATTCAGAAGGGTGTGACAAGAATCCAGTCCCATACCGAGCCCCCTTAGCAAGAGCATCAGATGCTGGCTGTGCTCTCCCACACTCGCTGTACAGCTCCGAAGCGCGTCTAAAGAAGTCCAAGACCTCATTCCATTCCCCAAGCTGCTTCGCCAGACTGCCCGCGGATTCCAGATGCTTAGCCGCATCCCAAGGCCTGCCAAAATTTGTCGAGGACACACAGCAACTACTTCACAGCACAGAAAGCACAACGGAAACGATGAGGGATCTGGATTCCAGAGGATGAGAGGATACTGCGATATCATCTCGTGGCATTTCGACGCCTTCTCGAATGCAATCTTTGCCTTTTCATCGTTTCTCGTTGCCCTGAATTCATTAGCTTCACAGAAGCAGAAAACTATCTCAGTTGATGAACTGGGTGGAAGATGAAACCAGAAATGAACTCGATCGAGCACCAACCAGCCTGTTCATACAGAACTACCGCACTCTTCCAGTCAGCAGTCCATCTCGTGAAGCTGAGTTTTGTTCTGAAAAGAGAAAAAAAAGGGGGAGAAACGAGAAAATCGTCACGAAGCTTTCAGACATCTGATTGAAATCTGCTAAAAGGCGTGGCGGTTCCTCGTGTATCACCGCCATTGATGACTTCAACGCTGGAATCACAAGCACCGAAACAACAAATGCGGCAAACTATCCCCTTGATTTCTCATGTAAGGGCACGACTGCCCAATTCCCCCAGATAAAATAGGAAATTGGCCGCTGCTTACGCGAAGAAAGAGGGCGAAACATAAGGAAGAACAGGGAGATCGAACCCTCTCGACAGTTGATATAATTCACAAGTCGATTACACATTTGGCCCGGAAAGATGAAAAAAGGCACGAAGATACCGATCTAGGTCGCAGAAAATTATAAGACAAGCCACCGCAGAGATCGACACTTACAGCTTCTCAGCCTTGACCATGAGCTTCTCCGGGTCGACCTTAGACATGGCGGGCGGTGGGAAGGGAGTGCGGGGAGACGGGGACGGGGTGGAGAGGCTTTGACTTGTCTGAGCCGTTTCCCAGCAATAACCAATTCTAAAAGGCTGTCAAATTCCCATTTTTGGATCTTCTTTGCGTCAAGAAACTAGTGTTTATAAGATTTTATTCCAATTCAACGAAAAAAATGCGTCCCCGCACATGATCTTCTCTTAAAATCAAAATTCCAGCGAAAAACGAGATTTTCTTTGGGATTATTCTTGGTTTGTGACGAGAAAAAAACTGGATTTCAATACTGAATTTATAAATAAAAACTCTTTAAAAAAACGCGAAAACTTGAAGCAAAGCTTGAGAATGATTGACTTTTTCATTAGTAGATTTTGAATGGATTATAGATTCATTAAACGTCGGCAAGTCAAAGAGTGGGCTCTTGTGGATGCTTCAAATTTTCTTAAATTTTCTCATGGGTTTGTTCTCATAAAAAAGGATCAAATTTCATAAAATAAAAATATTCACTCCAAATAGGCCCGAAAGTGTCAAGATGGGAAAATATGAAATTATTTATTCTTGATGTAAAATTAACAATAACACAAACATATAAACTTCCTGTGCATAAAATGTTAAAAAAAAATCTCATAACTATTAAAGTCAAAGAATTATTCCTTGGAAAAATCAAAAAATCTCATTGTATCATCTACTTTTGCAAAAAATAATATGGAATGCATTTTTAATATATAAATGAAAGCAATCTACACGCACACGTTATTGAAACTTATGAATTGCATCCTTGCTTTAATAAAGCGTCATATAAAAATCATATATTTTAAGAAAAAAATATTTAGGATTAACAAGAAAGTTGGCTAGCAATAAGCCTATCATAAATGTATGGAAGCATCAAAAAAGAATTTCCATGTTCTAGCTTGTCTCAAATCAAGGTCAGGTGTCTTCCCAAGGCTAGAAACAAAGACCCAGCTTAGAGAAAAAGCCCATATATTATTTTTGAGATAAATTCTGATGAAGCTCAAGCTTGGGTCAGATAGTTTTGGGCCTCAACCATTGTGTGCATATGTTTATAAGAGAGAGAGAGAGAGAGAGAGAGAGAGAGAGAGAGAGAGCTCATTGGTCTTTCACCAGGCCCAAACTGATGTTCAACGTATGAAAAAAGCTTGTACAATCATTTTTTAGTGGAATCCATCACTAGTATGTGCACCTTGAAGAGAGAGAGAGAGAGAGAGAGATGATCTATTAGAGACACGATCCGAAAACTATCCTATGAACCATTCTTATTTATGCATGAAAAATAACATATTAAAATTTACTTTTCTGTCTAGTATGATGAGCAGCATGCTTTAATATTTTTAAATATATATATATATATATATATTATTTTTATTTTGTTTTTTGTGAAAGTAAGAGAAGACCTGTGGTCTGCGGTTCAATGAACATTAGTGACCTTTTGATTGTTCATGGCAACCTCCACTCCTCCCCTGTAAAAGCGACCAGGGCAGGCCAAAAAGCTTCTAAAAGTCAACACTCAAAGAACGCTGAGATCTTCCCATGATCTATCAGACCCAATCCCCAAGACCCACGCTGTGAAAGCTCCCCTCAAAACGCTAGATTTCTTTAATAGAGCTGAGTTACAGTCACGTACTCTATCCACTCCTCTTTTTATCCGTTTTTTAGCGAGAGAGAGAGAGAGAGGAAAGAACTCCAAAGGCGTGTTTTTTCCCCGTTGACCAACAGCTTCTTTTGTTTTCGTGGGTATTTTACCTTTTATTGCATTATTATCATCATCAGTTTCTTATGGAGCATTCATTTTTTCCTTTCCAGGGTAAAGATTTATATCATAATCTAGGACTAATCATAATTTATATCGAAATAGGCATAATAAATAATTAAATAAATGTTTATGCATTTATTTTATTTTTTATTGAAATAAATTGTCTGTAATCATCCTCATCCTTCAACCAGAAGGAATTGACTAGGATTTAGAAGCAGGAATCCCCTAGGGCCATAAAATAAAATCAATTCCAAAAATGGGTCAGCTCGGAAATACTATAATTGCCATAAAGAATACATAAATATGGAAATAACAACTCGGAATCCGGTAAAATAGATACCTTAAAGATTCAACACCCAAACTCAAAGTCTAGGGTTTCCAGAATCAGAGCCAATAATAGCCTAACCCAAGGCTGCGAGAAGGCCGGGGCACCCACCCTCCAGTGGCCCAGCTAAACTGAAAACAGGCATGGAGAGAGGGGAGGGCCAATTCATAGACTATCAACTCAACTCAACTAGTTTCCCCACCTGGGCACACTCCAAAAGTATAGAGAGAGAGAGAGAGAGAGAGAGAGAAGCTCTACCAGTCCCGGTGGCGGTCGCGCTGCTGCTCCCTGCCATGGCTGCGATCTTGGTCCCTGTCTCTCGTCCGGTCTCTGGGCCTCTCTCTCTCTCTGCTCCGGCTCCGAGGCCTCTCCCTCTCACGGTCGCGGGTCCTGCTGCCCTCTCTGTCAGAGTGGCTTCTCCCGCCGTCTTTGCTTCTCTCCCTCGAGTCTCTCCCTGTCGTAGTAGACAACCATGTTCAGGGCCCAGAAGAAGACATTAATATTAATATTAATATTAATATTAATATTAATATTAATATTAATATTAATATTATTATTATTATTATTAATGGGTTGCAACTAAATGAGCAAGAAGTCAACACAAACCAAAAAAAAAAAAAAGAAAAAGAGTTTTTGACTGCAAGATTCTTCAAGAAAAATGATTTTCACAAAAAAGAATAACTAAATGCAGCCTATATATTTTTCATAAATATGTATATATACAGGAATATATTCATAATATAATAAAAAAGGGGGTTGGCTGCATACCTAGATCTTCTACCTCCCATCCGGCACGTCCAGAACCAGGGAGTGCAGACCCGCTACCACCCTGCTGCATTTTAGCACGGAACTTCTTCTTGAGATTGCCAAATTCGTCGTACATCTCTCCATCGTCCTGAAGAAGAGGGATGAGATCTTTTTTGATAGAACAACAAAGAACTCCAAAGCCATGATTACTAAGATTTTCCAGTCTACTCACTTCTGCTTCTCGCCTACGCCGTCTTGTTTCCTCAATCTCTTCTTCATCCAGTTCTTTGTATCCTCCAGCACGACCGCCCCTAGAACAAAGAAAGCAGAAAAGCAGTAAAGCCACGGTCTTCATCTTGTCTGAAGAAACTAACCCATGGAAAGAGAAAATAATGATTGCAAATTTAAACAGGAATCATATAAATTCGAGTTTACTTTAATTTCACAGATTTTTCTCAGAACTAATATTTTAGGGGAATTCATCAAGTTTAAAACCATTGTCGCCAGAATTTAGATAATGCCTGCCAACTGCTAAATTAGCATACTAAACAGTTCACCGGTCAAAACTCAGTTGAAAAGTTCCTCCTGTTGTACCAAAAGTCAGCAGAAATGTGACTGCTATCCTTTGGATATCGATTTCTCAAAAAGGTTTGGTTAAATCTTATGTCTGCAAAAAATTAAAAATTAAAAATTAAAAAAACAACAGATAGTGACACAATGGGAAATAATAAAGAGAACTATACAAATATGTGATTTTACAAGGCATCATTAAATGTCACAAAGATCTAAATTGAGCAAAGAATAAATCAAACTATAAATCATCTCAATCTCAGAACAGATTGACAATATTGACTGCGGTGGTCTTCAGACTACCATGGCTAGTTCAACCCAGCGAGGATTCTAGTCTCCAATAGTTTATAAAACCTTGTTTGACAATGTTCTTGCTAGGCAACATTTCCGAACAAGAATAAAATAAAACAACAAATCATAAAGAAAAATAAATAAAATGCCCATTGATGATCAGACTGCGAGGAAAAAGAGGAGAAAAAGGAGGGAGGGAACGGTGTATGAGATGGAAAGGAGAAAGCCGTTTTATGGGCATCCGCAGATAGCAACCTCCCCACAAAGGCAGTCTACAAAGAGCCAGCGCGCTAGAGCAAGAACTGCAACAGACAGAGGTAGTCAATGATCATGGTGCATGGGGGCCAAGATTGGGGAGGAAGATGGGCAGCCTGATCTTGGGAACACACGTCAGCCACTGTTGACAAAATGATGGGAGAGAACAGAATGGGGACAATGTAAGCGGCTCTTGGAAGCAATGTAGCGGAAGATATAGGGGGGAAGAGGCAGAAGGAAACGTAGGAATTAAATTCCCAACGCTTCTCAATCCGCCAGGTTGATTAAAAGAATGATAGAATGAAAGGTTGAGCGGCTTGGTCAATGTCAGTACTTGGAACACATTACCACAAGCTGGATTCCAAGATCTGAGTACCACAGGCTCCAGTTTGACCCAGACTTTCAGTGGTCAATAAAACCGAATATTTGTCAACGTGGCATCTGTGTTACGTCAGTGAAAGCATTCAAAGATACTCCAACTGATAAGGAAGCTTCCAGTGGAGATATTTAAGATTTCTCAGAGTACTGGCAAAAGGCGTCAAGCTTCTGGGGATTCCAAAGTCTAGAAACTATAGAATAGTTACCCCAATAAAATCATACAACGACCAGCCTAAACTTTCCATCCACGAGCCATGCAAGATTCACTCAATTTTCATAGCTTTCCACGGCATTATATCGGGTCACTGACGAGAGAAGAGAAAGATGTGAGAAGGCCAGTTCCATGGCATTTGTTTCTTATTCGTACATGAAAAATAATGGGCGACCTTCTAAAAGTAGCATGTTATTGGCACATTGAATTAGTAAACAACCACCCCAAGTAGTGAATCAGAGGATAGTGGCATTCTAAAATCCAAGAATATGCCTGAAATAGTTCGCAACATTTTTATGGTGGTTTTTTATTCACAGCTCTATCTACAGGAAGCATAAACAACAGGTGTGAAGGAAAGCACCAAGGGCTTTACTCCCCTCTCCGCTGTGTTGGCTCCACAAAAGAGATGTCTAACAGGCTCAAATACTCACCAAAGACCTCATTTAGTTTTACATGTAAAGTTAAATGACAAATCGTGCTTCACAAACCAAACATGTCTGAAATCTAACAGTGTACACGAAACCCTCGTGTATGAAATCAAGTTACTTGTAAGCAGTTATAACTAATCACATTTTATACCAAATGGTATTGAAAATGATAAGAAAATAAATAATAGCAAAAGAACCTAAGGAAAGAAACGTATGCCAGAAATAAGAATACATGAGGAAAAAAAATGTATGATCATTTTGCGAATAATGTTTCAAGTTCACCAGAAAGATTAATAATAAAAAAAACACAGCGTGAAGATGTAATACCTCACGCCACCTTCACTGTGACCTGGCTTATTGGTATTACAAATATTGCATTTCATTCGCTTAGCCCAGTTAATATTTCCGCACCTGTAATGGCAAAAAAATGTTATACTAGGCCCAGAAGTTAAAAGATGAAAATTAAATGCAAGTGAACACTAAAAAAGCGCCACACAACATAAAAATTAGCAACATCAGCAGCAATTCATGCGAAAGTTAAATCATGAAAACGTACAGGAAGAGCATAAATAGCACCACAATTCCCGCTCATAGTAATAGGTGGACACAGCAGGCATCACAGACTTTAGGCTTAATACAAGCTGGCCACAAAATTATAAAACTTGACTTCTAAAACTTTTTGTAGATGCATTTTTTTAACAACCACCCAATTGTCTCAATGCGTTGACAACCACTGGAGTTCAATCAAATTACACTACAGATATGCAATAAGAAATCCGTGATATGTTCTCATTCACAACTAACTTTGCTCTATGGCTGACTGACGACAATGAAGATCTTCTGCCTGGACCAGATCACATAAGGAAACAAACAATGTGAGAAAGAATTGTAAAAGAACTCTGTTAAAGAAGATTCAATGCGTAAATCCTTAAATGTTCATATCATAAGTATAGATTCAATGTGCTCATATTATATTCAAATAAATGTTCTTTAAGAGAGGTTGTTTGTGATTCAATCAAAAAGAATTGCTGATGCTGAGCTTCCAACATTTTTCTTTCCAGGCATTTCTTTTTGAAACTCCCTATCAAGTTAAAATAACTAGTACTCAACAGTAAATACACACATGTAAAAGGCTAATCAGCTGACCGTCAGTAATAATTCTTTTCTCAGAGAAAAGAAAACTTGAACACAGAATGAAGCAAGCATGCCTTCGTCAAAAATTAGTACCAGACGACTAAAATTAAACACAAGCAAAAACTGTAAATCATATGGATGACTACCTCTACTTTTATATGTAAAACAATAAACTGGAGAAAATATTTTGTGTGATAGAATAATCAATCCTCATGCTTAGGAGAAGATGGCTTACATAGGACATGGCCAATCATTTGGACCAAAGAGACCGGTAGGACCACCAGCACCTCTACCGCGTCCTCCAGCATCATTGCCACCATGGCCCCTACCCAAACCAGCTCCTGGACCTTTGCCTCCTGCACCAGCAGGCCGAGCCGTTCCACAACGATTGCAAACACCACGAAACGCAAAATTCACATTGCCGCAGCTGATAGCAAACAAAGCATCAGAAAATCTGAACTGAGAACCCAAATATATATATAGACATATCAAACATCGAAAAGTGAGAGAGGGCTGCTCACCAATATCACATTCACAGACCTTGTATTTGGACATGGCCAATCCCCGTCTTGTTGCCATGGTTTTCCTTCACCTCTCCCTCTACCTCTTCCTCCACCAACACCCTTCAAATCCCTACTGTCTTCTTGTCCATCAAAGGCACTTGGATCTGAAAGCTGAATGCTTGGAAGATCAAACGATTCTTTTCCCTTTGATTCGGCTATGCCAACTTCAATAATGTTTCCATGAAATTCCTTGTTATGAAACCACTCAACAGCAGCTGATGCAGCATGTGGATCTTCATAGGTAACAGTGGCATCACCCTTTGGCTCATTGGTAATTTTATCCTTGTACATCCAAATTTTTGGTTGACCAGTCCTCTTGTCCTTCTGTAAAACGGTTGCAAGAAGGAACATAAAACAAGTGAAACTTGAATTTATTAAGAAATGAAGCATTGCTGCAAGATGAACGAAAATATAGGCTGATAACATGGGAACACGGAAGGATCCCTACCTTTAGCAAACCTATAGTGCCAAAATAATCAGCAAGCATGGTTTCGCTCGTCCCAGGTGGCAAGTTAGAGACATAAACAGTTCCATTAGAAGCTGCACCTCTCCCCAAATAGCTTGCCATGACAAACACTCTTGGCGTTCACAAGATCATAAAGAATATCAGCCAATTTCTGAGGAAAAGGTTAAACGTAGTTAGTATACACCGTTCTGAGGTGACTAAGTACAAACCCCACTATTCAAGGTAAATGTCACAAGCAGATGAACCGTAAAACATAACTAAAATCATATGCAATCAACTTCAAATATAAATTGTCATTGTAGTTGAAAAAGAACAGAAAAATGGATACACAAATGGATGATAAGTATCTTCGTTATTAAAGAAGGAAAGGCACACACTACCTCCTCAAGAATGTGAAAAAAAATCCATTTATCTTTCTGAGGAAAAGTAGAGCAAAAATTCATCATGATCAACTTGAATAAGTGAATTACGGCACAGTAAATGTCGGAATGAAAAACCCTCATATTTTAAGCAATCCCATTTATCAAGGAAATATTGCTTACCAAGAAAAGGCACTTATACCATTAGAGGCCTTGATTACTGCATTTACCTCCCTAAAAATGCTTTTGCCAAGATAGAATTAAAGAGCCCTTCTTCTGAGATATGAATGATCCAAAGGCAAGCCCTTTTCACATGCGCATTTCTTAGGAAATGTTCACCATAAACACAAAACCATAGAGTTCGAAATACCATTATTTTTCACGTCACCTTCTTCCTCCTTTACCTTTGTGCCCTCATTTGGACTGGAATCCATATACACACAGCCTCTATCATTTCCAAAGGTACATTAAATGGACAGAAATAAAGAAATACTACAACTTGATGCCACCACTAGGTATAATAACTTCTCAGAACCCCAATCCACCACAAAGCATCAGATCCACGGCAGAGAAGTACATCAAGGGGTATCGTACATTTCAGTCCTATTGCTTAAATTTTCTACCAGTTCAATGACGTAGACGAAACCCCTTCATAAACGTTTCAAAAGTCGTTTGTCCGTGCTAACTACCAGCAATAAACTTAGCTACCCAGAGGCCAATGTCAAACACCCCACAAAAACTCCAGGTAAAGCGGGTGCGTGAATCTCAACACCCCACTGGCAAATGCAGCAGGAGACAATTAACATCTCATCCTAAGAGACGAACCCTCTTCTGACACAAAGTAACCCTTGTATGATTAGAGCAGACAAAAAGATCCAAATGAATTAAGGCAAGACCGTGATTGTGAAGAAAATTGAGGACATGAAAGCACATGTATTAATAAATATAAGACACGGACGCATGTTTTTAATAAGGAATGGATATCGCTAGTTGCTGACGGAGAGCAATGGACTATAAGAAGTATCACATCAACCTTGCTCCTCTGGATCAGCTGAAGTACGAGCACTTCCAGGTAGGTAACATGTCCATTTGAAAAAGAATTATCTTGCAGCAGTATTACTTTTTATCCACTGCAAAAGACTTCCTAAACCAAATCACACAGCATTTTTGGCCAATCATAAAATCAATTCAACAAAAACTAGGAGCTTTCCTTACTTTTTTAGATACGGAAAAATATGCCAATATAAAACTCTTGATAGTAATTTAGAACAAAGGACGGGAAGCAATGTGCAGTGCGCACAAAGGATACTTGGCAAACATGAGTCGAATGAAGATGCCTACTAAGTCTTGATGTGATCTTTTCTTTTCAAGGTCGAGGGATTGACCTCGACTGGTCAAGGAGGCATTTAATGGTTATCCCGTCAATAATGACATGACCAATGATATATATCGACTGTGTTTCAGAAATAGGTTTTACCACAGGTCTACTAAGGATGAGATCAGCATGCAAGGGCGGGTTGAGATACAGGAAGGGAACCGCCCTTCAAGCTCAAAAAACTTGATTAAATATTTCTTTTCCTCGCATTGAAGATATCCTCCGCTATAATAAGATCAATCAATAGTATAATTTGTCCTCTTCTTACGAACAGTGGTTCTAACAGATGCCCACCGTAAACTGATTTTCTACCCAGTCTCCTCGTGACTTTGTGTGAAACTGCCTCCATCTGGGCTTCAGATATTGGGAGGAAAAGAATAAATATAACGATCAACTTCAGTCATCATTAGTTTCTTCCCATACCTCCGACTGGCAGTTTCATGGTTTGGAAACTATTACCACAGCTAGACGCCCTTCGGATGAGCGAAAAATATTCTCCGCTTCTGAATGATCTGATCTGTCCATTGGATGAAACAAGGCATCGCGGTTTCTCGTCTACATTGTTCCATTTTTCAGCCTATTCCACCGCATCCATAACCAACGGCCTCGGTAGCAAAACATCCTTGGGCCTAGTCACGAATGGTACAAATGCCAGACAGATGCCATGAAAAAGCCAACTCCACCCATCTCATTCAAAAGGCACAAACCCCCCTCCCCCCTCCGCACATCCAGTGGACTCCATCGGAGACCCTCGCTTTCCATCCGAAAACCCCATTCGAAACCAAAACCCCTGGAAAGCCATTGACACAGGCAGTAAAAGGAGAAGAAAAGGATAAGAAGAAGAAGAAGCCGCTCCCATAATCATCCCGCCTCGCTGGTCTGCAGCCCTGAACTCCCACTAATCGGCACCCCGCGGCATTTCGAAAAACCCTAACTGATCTACACGGATGGGCAAGATCAAAGGATAAATAGAACCAGATCCGAGGAAGGATTCCCTTACCGGACGACAACGGAGCTCTGGGCTGCCCTCGGAGCCCCCCCCCCCCTTGGTCGCGCGCGTGGAACGGCGGCGCTGCAACCCGACGGCCACCCGGAGCACCTTCTTCCTTCTCGTTAAGCCCGGGGCCTCATACGGTCCTCCTAACCGAGCAGGCCCCCATTGTTGCCTGGTCCAGACCGTAGATGGACCATGCAAGAGACGGCCCGGGTACATTTCACCGACTTGGCCCAGAATAAGTAGGTGTATTTTCCATTGTAGGCTAGCCCTTCCAACCGGCGTTAACTTTATCCATTGTGATAGATTGATGAAGAAAATTGGCACCAATGAAGATTCTGACCAGTCATAAGCGTCTGGAATGATCCGTATTGAGATTGGTTGACTTTACCAAGATGGGGATCAAGGGTCACACAAAGTAAGTCAAAGGGGAGTACAAGTGAAGATCTAACCCGATCAAGTTGTCAACCTTGACCACCAAAGTTGATTGGTTGTAACTTGGTCAATCATGTAATTTTAATGGGCTTATCATGCCTTGTATGAGGGAGATTTAAGAAAATTTTCCAAGATCCACATTGTATCAATTTTTTTTATAATATTCTAATATAAATGATGGGACATGCCAAAATTGTTTTTAAAAGTATTATATGTATAATTAATATTTTTATCTTTGTATAGATAATTATAATGTAAAATGTAATCTTACCATAGTGAAATTTTTTCCTCAGATTTATGCAAAATAAATCCTCAAGGACTTTGATAGATTTGTGAATGGGACAAGGGAACATTAATTTCCTTGGATCCCCACCCTAATCGTTCTACTTTTTTCTTGATCATATTTTTTAATATTTGTTAAATTATGAAATAATACATTAAATTTATTTTCCTCTAATTTTTTACACCACAAAATATTTATACATTTTATGGGAAGCATCTCAATAAGGTCTTGTAATTAATCGTCAAGGACCTCTATTTTTAAAATTGGGCTGATTATAGTAAGCTTGAAGTTATTGGTAAAAAAAATTAATGAGCTCAAATCTGAGCATGGATTAGCAACTTGAAAAACTATAATTAAACCCATACACATATTTAATTCTCTTGATTAGCACTCATAGGCACTTATTTGCCTAATAAGCTATTATGTGTAACCCTCCCATACAAGATGAGGACCCATATCATGTTACTAATCTCATAAGGTTTTAGTTTATTAGTTAGTTTATTTGGGCATCATTGTAATATTACATAGTGAGTCAAACAATTTTGTCTTATACTCCGTAAGTCTCTTTCTCTTTGTACATATATGTAGTTGAAACCTTATGCATCTCTCCTTATGAAGAACTTTCACGTAAATGAATTTATATATATATATAATATTGATTTAAATAGGCCTATACTCTAAAATAATATAATTTCTTCACTTTGGCTCCCCCCTCTTGGACTACACACATATTCTCTTTGACTAAATTAATATATTTGTTGATTCTTTTATGGACCAAATGAGACTCTAAAAAATCCTTCTAAGTAAAAAAAACTAGATTTTACATAAATATTTGCCCAAATAAGTTGGTGGGGTTTATTTCTCCTCACCTTAGCCCCTACAAACATTCACAATAGTTAGGCCTAACATGATTGTTTTACATCACTGCAAACAAACAACACTAATAAGGATGCATTAGTTCTTCTTTTGTGACAACACTCATGCAAATGCTAGCCTGAATTCCTAGACAAGCCATTTGGGGTGGGATTTAGCATGAGAGAGAAAGAAGAGAGAGATGAGAGAGATGAACACCACATCACTACCATGCCTTTCTTGTAGAAGCTACCAAAGCATCTACTGAGCTTGCATATGAATTCTCTCTGATGAGTGAGAAAGACTTTGAGATATGTCCCCCTCAAGTCATGAAAGAAACCAAAGAAGGGTAATTAACAATTAGATAGTAGAAGAGTGATGAACATCAAAAAACATAATGTATAGATGATCCACTCACATTTTGTCGATTCTAAATTCAACTCCCCTTCTGAAAGAAGAATCATTGGTATGGGGTTACAGGGACTATCAACTCTTCCCACTCCTACTTCAGCCATCATTCTTGCTACTAATATGATTAGATGAGAATGACTTTATATATAAGTCATTCTTTAGAGGGGAGAAGTAGTGGTGGAAGTTAAACATTGAGTAGGACTTGGTGGAGCAAATAAAGATTGAGATATTTAGTGTTGGTACTACATTCACAGAGTACGGCTGCTCTATCTTGTAGTGCTTCGCCTTCATCTTTATTAAGCATGTCTTCATTTCTAGGCTATGGAAAGCCCCCTCTCTAAATGAGTTAAAAAAAATTGAGGAGAATTTATTAAATAAATTATTAATGCATTT